CGGTGCACCATCGAAAGCGTTCTAACGTACTGCTGTACATCATGGTATGGAGCCTGCACAGCTGCTGAAAAGAAGGACCTGCAGCGAGTGGTGAGAACAGCTGAAAAGGTGGTGGGCTCCTCACTCCCGAACCTGGACACCATCTACTCTTCACGTCTCCACACACGGGCCTCCAACATTCTGCAGGACCCACACACCCCGGGAACTGCCTCTTCCACACTCTCCCCTCAGGAAGACTTCAAACTCCCCTCACACGCACAAACAGGCTGCGCAACAGCTTCTATCCACGAGCAGTGGACGTGCTCCAAGGGCACAGGCACAGATAAAAGACCTGAAGGGACTCGGTGCAATAATCTATTTATTTTATTTAATAAATGTTTTTTTTATTGGTATGGATGTGAGGATGTGTGTATATATTGTACATTTTTACTGCTACAGATCTGCTCTGCTGAAGTTTCGTTGTATTTCATACAATGACAATAAATAAATCTATCTATCTATAAAGAATCCAGACAGAAGCGCAAATCCCATTTGGTTCGTTAAATCTTTTTCTCAGTGGTCCGTCCTCTGTGCGTTTGGTTCTTCCTGGGGAAAGCGCTTCTCAGGCCGAGTCACCTAACTCCCTAACTTCCCGCTCCATCTCATCTGAGCCCGGACTGAACCCGGAGCTGCTCCAGCTGGGTCAGGACTGTAGCATTTCTCACACCAGGTTTAAAGCAGGGCATTTCTGAAGTCGATCGAAGATGATGACGTGTCATTTCAGAGGAGACGTTCAAGGTTCTTTATTTGGTTCAAGGTTTTTTTTTTTTTTTTTTTTTCAAGGTGTTTGTCATTCAAACATGTGGGAGAAACACATGACAGAACGAAATGTGCTCCCCGAGGCCCAGTGATCCAGAAAGAGATAAAAAACAATAATAATAAGCAATGTTAAAAAATAAATACATTTAAAACAACAACATTTAGCAGTTCCAATGAACAAGTAGTAAAACGTGGCAAGACAGAGAGAGAGGCAACCAAAGCAGGAAGTGAGTGTGCACTGTTCACAAGTCTGACAGCCTCAGGAAAGAAGCTGAACTTCAGCCGAGAAGTTCTAGCTTTAATGCTCCTCAGTCTCGTCCCAGAGGCAGAGGAACAAACGTGTGTCCCCTCCCATGATGCATTTGGAATAGTTGGTTTGGACCTGAGTTTGGGTTCGCACCAGAGTTTGACATTTGTTGTGGAGTCAAGCGGACCTCTTTTTTTGAGGTCTCAGTCCGCTTGATTTGGTGCAGGTCCCAGTCCGATCGAAGCTTTCACACCAACGAAAACGAACCGAACTAAGAGCTTCTGGTTCGAATGGATCAGTTGGTGCACGTCAAATACTGTTAGTGTGAAAGCACCGTAAACTAGGTCTAAACCAGGACTGAACCAGGACTAAACCAGTCTCAGTCCTGGTTTCAGTCCCGGTTTCATTCCTAGTCTGGTCCCGCTCCTGGTCCTGGTCTCAGTCCCAGTCTGCTCCTGCTCTCAGTCTTGATCACCCGACGGTCTACTCGGGCAAACCTCCAGGCCCGTCCCGACACTCAGTCCTGGTTCAGTCCATTGTCTGTTTTTTTCCATTTTTCATTTGAATACAAAATCGAAAATTGGAAAAAAAAAAAAAAATTGAATTGTTATCTGTTTTTTCATTTTGTTTCTTGGAGACAAATAATGAAGAAACAAATGAACGTGTGATACATGGATTCAGGTTAATACAAACATTTTAAGACCAAACTGAAGAGTCTGACAGCAGCAGTGACACAGAGAGGAGTGATATTTTTCAATAGAAAGTGAATTCGATGCCATGCTCACTTCCTGTTTGGTTTCTGTAGCGTCTAGCAGGTTAGGTAATACTATAACATGTCACTTGTTAAACTCTTTTTTAAGGTGAGATTGTTTTTTTGTGTTTGTTTTTTTTTACCATGCAGATTCAAACTGTAAAATTGAACAGAGTGAAGCCAACTGTGCGGCGTTCTGAAATCAGCGTCTCCTCACACAGGCAGGAATAACAGAAGTCTTGAGGAGTGCGTTTACTGAGTGGAAATAAAGTGGGAGTCATCGAGCCGTGACAGCGCTGTGTTTTCCAGCATGTGTCTGACGCGCCTGAACGCACCGCTTCCTCATCCAAACATTTAGGCCAAAAACACAATAAGAAAAACACACTGTGAACTGCATTGTGTTTAACGTGAGCCCGCCCGGCCCCCGAGCCTCGGGTTTAGACTCACACATGCTGCTTAAAGAGCCGCTCTCTGATTTAGTCTCATTTTATTTGAATAAATGTGTCTTGCTCCAGTAAAGACACGTTGTATAAGCGGCTCTTAAAGGGCCAATAAACCCCAAAATCACTTTTTTTTACTGAGCCACTGTGTAAAATAAAAGCGTATACCTGTCCCTGATCTTATTTTGGCATTTCAGTGCATATTTTAGGTCAAATTCGTGTCTGTAACGGCCTTTTTAGGATCAGCTACAGTCAGGACGTTTGAGTTTTCAGGTTGGACTAAAACAGAAGCCTGATTCATCAGTTGGCTTCACTTGGTGGAAACCGTGTGACCTCACAGCATTAGGATTTATTCGCTCGACTGTAGGTGGGTACTTTTATTTTATTTAAAGAGGCCCATCTGATGCAAAATAACTCTTTTCACTTTGTATCTTCTGCACATAAACAAGCACAATTTGGGTTTTGGAACATCCATGACACAATAATTCTGAAATCTTACTGATTTCTTGGAGGCGCCACAGACCAGGAACTATGAAAGTCCAACTATTGCTTTTCCCCCCGCCCGTCCTGAGAAAGCACAGGCTCCGCCCTCCAAACGTGACGTAGGCGACGAGTGAGCCGCCCTTCCTCCGCCATCTCAGGGAGGGAGGGGGAGACAGGTGTGACCCTGATAGTGGCAGGAATAAACTTTTATTCATCATGGAGATACAGCGCGTTCAGCCGCATGTGTCGACGCTCTAGACGCGCGTCCAAGGTGTCAGGGTCAAGAAGTTGAAAATGCTGAACTTTTCGCGTACAGAGGCGACACGTCAACCAATCAGGGACGAGTATCCAGTGACGCAGCAACGTTTTTATCAGGAAGAAAAAACCGAGAACCAGAACGAGAACCATAAACATGAGCGGAGCATAAATATATACACCACAATTACCAAGACGATCGGGAGGACTACACCAGGACCGGACCAGGCCTAAACCAGGACTAGACCGAGACTAAACAAGGACTAGACTGGGACTAGACCGAGACTAAACCAGGACTGATCCAGTATAAATATAAATACGCCCCAGTCGTCGACCTGATTTCCTCCGCTGATGGTTTTACGTTATAAAAACACTAAAGTCTCTCTCAGTCTGGTCTGACTTTGTTTTGGGAAAAGATCTGGATCAGGCTCTTGTTTTCAGGGCAACGGACACACGTCAGGTATTTTTCTCTCGTTCATTCCACGGTGTCAAAGACGAGCATCGGGGGCGTCTAAACTCAAATGCAAAGGCTCCAAATAGAGACGTCGAGGTGTTTTTTGACGCGTTGGTGTGAACGACCCTTTAGAAGGTAGAAAGCTCTGAAAAGTAGATTTTGCATGAGATGGGCTCTTTAATAACGTCTTCCCCCTTGATAAAATTCACCAAACATTCTCTTTGTTCCGGTTTTAAATCCTCGATCTCAGGAATTGTTGCCAACACAGAATGTCTGTCTTCGTCTACATCCATCTCGATGCTTTTGTTTATTGTTGTGCCGTTCCACAAAAGAGACACAGACAGACGACACGAGTTTGACGTCGTGGCCGGTGTGTGGTCTACGACTTCTGGGGCCCCATCCCCCGAAGTTAAAACATTTCCAGCGGCTCTGAAAACTCTCTCTGATGATGCGCTTGTTGCAGACGCACCTGTGCTTTGGTCGTCGTGTGGATGTAGTGTGTGTAGTGTGAGAAGCACCGTTTGTCTTTGGAACAAGGGCCGCTGCATCTCTCCAGCTCTCACTGCGGCAGCTCGAGTCCTGCACCAGGTCGGGTCAGAGTCCTGCACCAGGTCGAGTCAGAGTCCTGCACCAGGTCGGGTCAGAGTCCTGCACCAGGTCCAGTACCTGCGGACTTAAGAGAGAGAGAAACCTGAGCGTGTGGAGCAGGTGTCCGCAAAGCGCGATCGGGCGACGGCTGCACTTAACTCCGTGCGGCGTGAAGTTTTACGCCGCTGTTTCTTTCTCCAGTGGTCACCCAACGGTCTACACGGGCGCACTTTAGTCCCGGGTTAGTCTTGGGTTAGTCCTGGGTTAGTCCTGGGTTAGTCCTGGGTTAATTCTGGGTTAGTCCTGGGTTAGTTAGTTAGTCCTGGTTAGTCCTGGGGTTAGTCCTGGGTTGTTAGTCCTATCCTGGTTAGTCCTGGGTTAGTCCTGGGTTAGTTCTGGGTTAGTCCTGGGTTAGTCCTGGGTTAGTTAGTCCTGGGTTAATTCTGGGTTAGTCCTGGGTTAGTCCTGGGTTAGTTAGTCCTGGGTTCATTCTGGGTTAGTCCTGGGTTCATTCTGGGTTAGTCCTGGGTTAGTCCTGGGTTAGTCCTGGGTTAATTCTGGGTTAGTCCTGGGTTAGTCCTGGGTTAGTCCTGGGTTAATTCTGGGTTAGTCCTGGTTAGTCCTGGTTATTCTGG